CTCAAGCGACAGTCGCGACCATGTTTGCTATATAGCTGAGTTTCAGTCAGATTTTAGGGTATAGCTTCCAGATCTTCTTTTAGGGAGTTAGGGTTTACTTCTAGAGCATTTTTGCTAGTTTCTTTGATGTTTGTTTGAGTTTAACATCAAAGTTTGTTTGATTGTTCAATGCAAGAGTGTTCTTCTTCGGTGGATTCAAGAGATTCAAGCATGGAGTCTTTGAAGGAGTTCGAAGCTGCTCGTGGTCATTGATTCGACATGGATGTTGTGGATTCGATATCAAGCTGATCAATTCTGAGACGGAGGTGTTGACAAAAGAGACACAGATTGTTGAAGACAATTTTACCGAGTTTGGGTAAATTATTTGGTAAATTAGTGTTCTTTTTTTCTTTCTTCATAGTGGATTGATTTGTGGCTTTTCGCCCATGGTTTTTTTTTATCACAATTGGAGATGTTCTAACTTTGTTTTTTTCCATGTAAAAATGGTTTGTGTCGATTTATTAATTATGAAGCAACAATCTAAATTACTTTTGTACGTACTAGATGATTTAGATTGTTAGTTTTGATTGTTTGGGAATTGTTGCAATTAAATATATTACGAATCATGAATTACGTAGGTTTTTCATTTTTTACTTCCATCTCTGGTACACCCTCTATTGCTCTCTCAGTCACTCTAGGTACTTCATCCTGGTATTTTGATTCAGCTTGTTGCAATCATATGTCCTCTAACCCTACACTTTTTTCTTTCATTACATCTTCTTCTAATTTACTAGTTATTCACACTACTAATTGCTCTTAAATGCATGTTAGTCATATAGGTCATATCTCCACTTGTAATATCTCTCAACCTCACACTTATTTGATCCCAACCTTACACTTAATCTTATCTATATTGGTCAACTATGTGATCTTGGCCTTACTGTTTTATTTTCTTTGACTGGTTGTGTTGTGTAGGATCCGAAGACGGGACAGACTTTGGGGATAGGTCGTAGACATGATCGTCTGTATGAGCTCATCTATCTATGTATTCCATCATCTAGTACTTCTCCTATCTAGACTACTGCTCTTGCTACTAGTAGTTCCTCTCTTGCTTTATGGCATTCTTGATTAGGTTATATGTCTTTTGGTCATTTCCGATCTCTAGTTTCAAGTGGTCAATTAGGTCTTGTTCCAAATGATAAAGTACATTGTCTATCTTGTCAACTTGCCAAACAACTTGCTTTACCATTTTATACTAATACCTCTATGTCTCATGCACCTTTTGATCTCATACACTCTGATGTTTGGGGGCCTTCACCTAATACCACTATGGGGGAATCTAAATACTTTGTCATATTTGACGATGATTTCACTTGTTTTACCTGGTTATTTCTTATGAAATCTCATTCTGAGTTACACCAAATATACTATAATTTTTCACAAATGGTCAAAACTCAGTTTTCTCCTACCATCAAAATTTTTCGGCTCTATAATGCCCAAGAATATAAAGAAACTCATTTTTTGAGATTCCTTCGTCAAAATGGTACACTTTCTCACTGTTCTTGTCCTGGTACCTCCCAACAAAATTGTCATGTTGAGCGCAAACATCACCATATCTTAGACACTGTCCGTGCTCTTTTAATATCTTCTTCTTGTCCTAAATGTTTTTAGGGAGAAGTTGCTCTCACAGCCGTTTATACTATCAATCGTGTCTCTTCCCTTACCATCAACAATCAAACCCCATATAAGCGTCTGTATGGCACACCTCCTGTCTATATTGGTCTTCATGTGTTTGGATATGGTTGTTTTGTTCTTCTTCAACCTCATGAGCATACCAAATTAGAACCTCGCGCAAGTTTGTGTTGTTTCTTGGGGTATGAGATTGAACATAAAGGTTATCGTTATTGGGATCCTCTTTCTCGTCATCTCCGTGTCTGTAACAACCCCTATCCGCAATTAGCCACTAATCAGTAATTAAGGATGTTAATGAGTGAATAAATAAATTATGGGTTTATTATGTGATTTGCATGATAGTTGGCTTACTATTTGTTACTTGTAGAAATATTTGTCTGGATTTCCGCTTTAATATGTAAATTGAAAGCCTTATCGGCATCCGAAACCGAAATTAACTAGACTGATGTGTTATTTGGAATTTTTAGAACCATATGGAAAATTTTATTAAAAGTTGATTCAGTCTGATTAATTAAGTCATGTTTGGTTAGCCTAATATTCTAATTAATGTGTTTTAGCACCATAAGCTTATATGAGCCTAATAAGCTCATTTGAACTCATTTGTTTCATCTCCCTTGAGTGGAAAAATCTGGTGAAACATTTTAGAGAGAGAGAGAGAGCACAATTCTAGAGAGAGGAAGGAAGAGATTGAAGGTTTTGTGTTGAATTGGTCAAAGATTGTGCTAGAACAAGAGTAATTCAAAACTCTAGGTAAAATTACAACCTCTAGATTGTGTAACTAAGTCATTTAGCATGAAATTTCTTCGAGATTAGGAGTTTGATGTGTATATTGAGCTTAGAAGGAAGATTTGAGTGGCAATTCATGCATGCATGTGCATTTTCTTACCAATTGAGCATGATTTCCATGAATCCTCTCTTGCATGTTTGAAATTCATCATCATTTGGGGAAATCATCAAGTTTCAAGTTGGTTTGTGGTGTTTGATCATGTTTTGAGAAGTTTGATACAAGAAAAATTCATGCATGTTGTGTTCATAAACATTCGTCATGTTTTAAGTTGAAATTATGAGTTTTTAACAAACCCCTGGGCCATGATTTTATGAAATGATCCTAAATTCTTTATGTTTTACAAGTTTACTATGTTATCTCAAGTTTTGGGGCCCGAGAGATGTGTTTTGAAGGTTGGAATTCGAGTTTTGAGCTTGAAGGTGCAATCTGAAAATTCCAGAATTTGTATCTACACTCGAGCGTGGGAGTTCATGCTCGAGTGACCACTCTGAGTGCGTGCACTCCGCTCGAGCGACCAAAAGCCCGCTCGAGCATGAATTGCAAGCTCCTAGAAGTTTCATGTCTTTTACAGATTGCTCGAGCGAAGGAATGTGCGCTCGAGCGACCATTCACATTTTGCATGTCCGCTCGAGCGAGGAAAGCTACGCTCGAGCGTGGACCTTATTTTCAGAAATTTTGCCTAAGTGTTTCAAGGCATGTTTTGGCATCCTCATTGCATCTTAGACATTCCTAAGCCTTAATTAAGCCATAGTAATGAGGTTGTGGATTAGAAGCACACTAAGAAAAGAATGTACTAAGTTCTGAGACTGCAAGTGTGTGTGTTTTAGGCAATGTGATAAGAAAGAATAAGAACCAATGTAATGAAAGCTAAGCCTTAATGGCCACTTGAATGTGTAATGATAAGACATGCTTGTGTTATGTATTTTGTGATTGTAGGTCAAGACTTGAGGATTGATTGATCGCTTACAGGAACCACTGTGAGTAACGTTATTGTAAAGATACGTTCATATAAATTACGTTCCAAATGAAATATGATAAGTTCTGATTTCTGAAATGATATCTGTTTTCGTGAACAAATATTCCGTATTTGAAAGCTATTATGACATCCATAGATAGTTCCAAGTCATGGGGGACGACATGAAAATGCGGGTCCATGACATTCATGTGTTTACTAGATCTCGTTAGCCACTTCATTGTGGTGATATGTGTTTAATCGGTATCGGGAACCGATTACTCTAGTCGGAAGACGTTCTGTGATGTGTTCTATGGAATGTACCATTATTATGTTCTGATATGAGGATGATTATGTTATGATATGTTTTCTGCTTATGATATATTCGAATTTCGTTCACGAAACCCTTTACCTTAATGTTATTCATTGGGCTTTAGCTCATTGTGTGTATATATATGTATAGGTAAGCACACTGGAGCCCGAGCCTGAAGGCTTTTGTCTAGATCTGTGTTCTGTTGTCAGCCAACCATTGTGCCTTACGTGGAGGTTCCCGAAGTGTCCTGTGTTCAAGTTCTGTTGGTTTTATGTATATGTATGACTTGTTTTAATTCTGTTGGCTGTACTTCAGATACTTTAATGTGTGTGGGTATAATGCATGAATGACTTTTGATTATGTATATAAAGTTTTTAAATATTCCGTTTCGTATAAGTTAGCACAGCTCATTGGACAACTATATTTATGTATTTGCTTCCACTAGCCCCTTAATCTTGTTAATCTGTTCAGAGGCCTTCGGTAATCCAAGGATTACTGGCCGGTTACGATGCTAAACCTATAGGGGCGGGTTTGGGTCGTGACAGTGTCTCTCGTCATGTGGTGTTTTGGGAACACAAGATGTTCTCTTCTCTATCTAAGTTTCATTTGTCCACTCCTCCTATTACACCATTCTTTACAAATCCTTCTCTTCTGTTTGATGAGCTTGACACATACCCTACTTCTAACATGATAACTTCACCCCATCCTAAGGATTTTGATATACCTCCTGGTCCTACTGCTCCATACTCTGATCCTGAGCTTGCTCTTGTTCCTGCTCTTGCTCTTGCTCCTAGTTCTGTCTTCATTCTCTCTCACAGTGAGCCTGATGCATCCCTTGATTATACTCCATCATCTTCTACACCAGAGGTGCCTCTTCGTCATTCTACTCAGGTAACATAACCTTATGTACTTTTTTGTAATTTCATTATTGGTTCTACTGCCTTTTCTTCTCATAAACCTACTTCTTGTCAAGAGGCTTGCTCTAATCCTTTTTGGCAGAAAACTATGACTGATGAACTGCAGGCTTTTGATAAAACTTATACCTGGGATATAGTTGACCTTCTACCTGGAAAAGTGTTGTTAGTTGCAAATGGGTTTACAAGATCAAAACCTATTCTGATGGTTCCATAGAGCATTACAAAGCTCGACTTGTTGCCTGGGGGTTTACTCAAGAATGTGGGATTGATTATGAGGAAACATTTGCCCTCGTTGCTAGTCTTACTTCAGTTCGCAGCCTCCTTGCCATTGCTACTGCTCGCCATTGGAGTCTTTGTTAGATGGATGTTAAGAACGCTTTTCTCAATAGTGATCTCAATGAGGAAGTTCATATGAAACCTCCTCCTGGTTCCTCAGTTCTGTCCACCAAAGTTTGCAAACTTCACTGTGCTTTGTATGGTTTGAAACAAGCTTCTCGTGCTTGGTTTGCCAAGTTCAATTTTACCATTCGTGACTTTGACTTCTCCTCTAGTGCCCATGATTCTTCTCTGTTTATACGTAAGATAGAGTGTGGTATTATTATTATTCTTCTTCTCTATGTGGATGATATGATCATCACTGGAGATGACAGAGTGGGTATCTCTAGTCTCAAATAGTTCCTCAGTCACTAATTTGAGATGAAAGATTTAGGTCTACTTAGCTACTTTCTCAGTTTGGAAATTTCTCAAGATCCTTCTAGTTACTTTCTCACCCAGGCCAAGTATACATCTAATCTCTTAGCTCGTGCTGGTTTTACCGATTGCAAGATTACACCAACCCCAGTTGATCTTCAGACTCATCCACACCTCTTGATAGTCACCTATTATCTAATGCTACTTTATATTGTCAACTAGTTGGCAGTCTTGTCTATTCCACGGTTACTTGTCCAGACATTGCTTATGTTGTTCACATTGTCGGTCAGTTCATGGCTACTCTTCTCTCTCCACACTATGATACCTTGGTTTGCATTTTGCGCTATCTCAAAGGCACTATGTTTCATGGTCTTCACTACTCAGCACACTTTTCTTTACAGCTACACGCCTTTTACGATGCATATTGGGCAGGGGATCCCACAGACCGCCGTTCTACTACAGGGTTCTGCTTCTTCTTAGGTAACTCTCTCATTGCCTGGTGTAGCAAGAAGCAAACTGGTATTGCTCGTTCTAGTACTGAGGCTGATTATCGTGCTCTTGCTGACACTATATAAGAGCTTGTGTGGCTTCATTGGCTTCTTTCTGATATGAGAGTTTTTCATCCTGCTACCACTAACCTTTATTGTGACAATCAGAGTGCTATTCAAATTGCGCATCATGATGTCTTCCATGATCGCACCAAGTATATTGAGATTGATTGTTATTTCATATTGCAATATGTTAATAATGGCACTGTTCGTCTTATCTTTGTTACTTTTACAGATCAGACAGCTAACATCTTTACCAAGGCTCATCTTCCATGACACTTTTCTGACTTACTTTCCAAGCTCAAGTTGATATCTGCATTATCACCTTGAGCTTGAGAGAAGGTATTAGCTGTATATATCTATATTATCATATTGTGCATTCCTATATTGTGTTTTACCATACTTAGCTTATGCTTCTCCTATATAAAGGAGTCTTGTATTCACTCATATTCATTCATTGAAATATACATAGTTATATTCTCTCTCTCTCTCTCTCTCATAGTTTGTCTCTATTCTTATAAGAAAAAGCATAAATTTGGGCCGAACCAAATTTGGTTGTTGTGTGGAGTAGGGCTAACGCCAATGAGACACAGTTGACATAAGCACCAGCGCTGACATCATGTTGATGCAATGAGAGGCTGCGAATGCATAGAGATGACATAACACTAACACAATGAGGGTGTGAAGGGCTGACGTCAAGCTGAGGTATGCGGCTGATGATGTACTAGGCTAGTGTTAAAGTGATGCAGCAGTGAGGTGAGTAGGGTTGATGTCGCTTTGATGTCAGCGACGCGCAATCATATGAAAGTGTAGAAAAAGCATAAATTTGGGCCGAACCAAATTTGGTTGTTTTGTGGAGTAGGGCCAACGCCAATGAGACACAGTTGACATAAGCACCAGCGCTGACATCACGTTGATGCAATGAGAGGGTGCGAATGCATAGGGATGACATAACACTAACACAATGAGGGTGTGAAGGGCTGACGTCAAGCTGAGGTATGCGGCTGATGATGTACTAGGCTAGTGTTAAAGTGATGCAGCAGTGAGGTGAGTAGGGTTGATGTCGCTTTGATGTCAGCGACGTGCAATCATATGAAAGTGTGTGGGATGCTTTTGAAGTGCATGACAATTCATGTGCGGGTGGTGGTGGTAGAAGATGGCATGTCGAAGCTGAAGAGCGCATGCGGGCGTGTTAGGAGGAGAACTACAACTTTGATACCATGATAAGGAAGAGATAAGAAAATGTATATTGAATTGACGAATACAAAAGAATACAAGTGTCCTTTGTATAATGAAGGACAAGGCTAATCTATGGAAACACAATCAATCCATCTATGGTAATACAATCGGATCATCTATCTATGGAAATGTAATCATATATTCTAAATATGTTAATCTTAATATATTCTTATATTCTAACTGATGATATAGTTCGTGATGGTAGAACGGGTCGGACTGATCCACGCTCCTTATGCCTATGTCTGAATGACCAAGCCCACCTGAAGACCTGAACAAGAGTTCAACGGGGAACGGGGAACGGGGAGTCCCCCAGCGAACCCTCCGACGAGCAAGTTAAAGAGAGAGAAGTGGAGTGTAGAGATGGAATAGAGATAGAAAAGCTTAACCTTCTACATGTCTTCGACGTCTGCTTATATCCTTTGGTAATCATTACGTTGTCTCTTCCAACCTGTCACCTTGGCCGAAAGTCTATGCTGTAACTTACCTTGTTCAGGGTGAGGACATGTTGTCCCGACGGAGAGGGATTATCGCAATAAATGCTGTAAGGGGGTCTCATTAATGGCGATGTGTAGTGGCAATAACTTTGCAGATCTTTGTCTGCTGATGTGGCTTACCCTTTTCTTGCCATGTGTCTTGATGTCATTGGTTCTAATTGTTACATGGGGCTTCGGCAGTGCTGGCCTTCAGCATTTGAGATATGTGTTGGGCCCTAAATTGTGGGCTCTAATCTTTATGGGTTTACCCATGTCAGTAGTCCCCTATTCTCGAGTGCAGCTTTAGTCCAACGAAGGGAATATTGAAGAGAATAAGGGCTGTGAAAAACCGGCAGGGTGAAGGCCGACCGAGCGGGGTGACCGACCGTGAGGAGGGGCAACCGCGAAGGGTAGCCGAGTGGGGGGACTGACCATGCGGAAGGCCGACCGCGAAGGGTGGCCAAGTGGAGTGGCGCGGGGCTCGAGAGGCGGTGGGGCACGTGCTGAAGTGAAGTGGAATAGACAGAGAAGAGGAAAGGAGCAGTGGATCGTGGACGTACACATGGCAGAATCTCGTAGTGGGGGAGGTTAGGCGTTGGCGATAGGTGAAACGATAGGTCATTATAGGGTGTTGAAAAGATAGTTGTGGTGGAATTTTGAAAATTTTCAAACTAGCGAGAATTAATTGTGACCCTTGGAATACAAGCAAGCCGTGGGCCTTTGGTATTATCCGCTTTACCTACCTTTTTGTAAAAAATCAAAGCATTCCAAGTGTAAACTCCTTCATTGCTAGCGATACACCTCTGCAACACTTTTTGAATTTTCTTGCGCCCGCATCCGAAGCCATTCGTAGACACACGACAGAAATGGCCCAGGAAGAAGCTAGAACTGCCAGGGTTGATCCACTAGGGAACGACGATGCGGTGGAGTTGGCGGAGCAGTATAGGACGGAGAGGCAAGTGGAGAAAGTAGGGGAGCCGGCGGGACCACCGCGTTCATTGACAATGATAGCGGCTCCGAAGCCAATCAACCAGGCTGAGCCAGATCACTAGCATACGAAGGCCGACAAGTCGATCGTTACTACGGGGGAGTTGGAGGGTATGCGCAAAAAATACCAGGTTCCCGCAGAAATAGAATCGATGCTACCAACACCAACGGAGAGGCCGTCCGACGCCCGGCCGGGGGAGTTTGCCCTCTACAAGAAGGCGTTGAAGGGTGGGTTGAGGCTGCCGCTTCCACATATAGTAGTGGATGTCTTAAACCGACTGGAGGTGGCGCCAGGCCAACTAATGCTCAATGCGTGGTAGATTGTACTGGCCTGTGCAAGTGCGTGGCCGAGGGCGAATGAGGGGGCGGCTATGACGGTGGACGAGTTTTTTGCCTGCTACAAGGCCTCGGGTCAGCAAAAAACTTGGGTCACTATGCAAGCGGCGGCAGGAAGGGGTCTGGTGGCGGGGTTGCCGTCATCAATTAAGGGATAGAGGCCGCGGTGGTTCTATGTATCCGCGAACGGGAGAGTGGGAGTGCGCACGGTGTGGAGAGTGCCCACCAAGTCTGTGGAGCCAAAACTGGGTGCCGCAGCGAAGGAGAGGGTGAAAAAGGTGAAGGCATGGAGGGAGAAGGAAAGCGTCAAATGGGACGATCTCGTCCAGTTGTCCGCTTTGTTCGCCGCAGGACAGGGCCCTCAGCCGACCGGTGGAGATCTGGCACCGGCAGAACTAGAGGCAAGAAGGAAGGCGCAAGAGGCGGAGGATCGGACCATTTTTTCCAAAGCCCAAAAGTTCAAAGAAACGCAGTTAGGCCCGCCACCAAAACCAATCGCGAGGGAAAGAATCTGACCGCGTCCCAAGCCGCTGGGGGAAAAAGACTTGGGCAATTTTGAGCTGCGAGCGCCCCTAGCTAATCCGGTGAAGGAGAGGGCAAACAAGGAGGGAGAGGTTCTGAAGAAGAAGAAGAAGAAGAGGAGGGTTGCCCCTGAGGGGTCCTCAGATGCGCCTGGGCCGAAAAGGATGAGGGTTGGCGGGGAGGTTACCCCCATGGCGGAGGAGGCAGGGAAGAAGGGAGTGGGGGCGACCCCAGAAAGGGTGGTTGCCCCAGAAGTGCAAGGGGACGAGGGTCAGGGGGGCCAGGAGGAAGAAGAGCACTTGAGTGCCAGGCCCAAGGTGCCAGTGGAGAGTGGGTCACCTGACCCTAAGGAAGTGATGGAGCAGTAGCCCAAGGGGGGCCCTGCGCCCCAAGAAGGGGGGGTCAAGGTGAAGTATGCGATTTACCATGCTCCTGCAGTGTCTGGGCGACTGGAGGGAGAAGAAGGCCCAGCTAGGACAGCTGCAGATCTTTTTTTAGAGGTAGTGGACGAGGCAGCCGTGCGCTCCGCGACCAAGTTCAATGAGGCTGAGCTGCTAAGGGGGCTGTGCTCTGCCCAAATAGAGGTGACCACCTTAGCAGGGGCTCTGCTGAGGAAGGCGGCGGCGGCAAAGGGTGAAGTGAAACCGCTGAAGGCGAAGTTGGAGGAGGCGAAGGCCCAACTTGAAAATTTCAAGAAGGAGAGCGCAGGCTGGAGGAAAGCTGTGCGAAGTGCGTGTGCCAAGGGGTTGGAAAAGGCTGAGAAGGCGAAGAAGATGGAGGTGTTGGCAATTGTGCAGCACAATGTTGCCGCTCGAGCCCATGCTGAGCTGTTTGCGGTCAAGTTAGAGCTGGAGGACGAACGCTGCAAGGTAATGTCGCTCGAGTTCCAGCTGACTGGCGAGCAGAAGAAGCTGAGGGATGCTCAAAATGCCTGGACGGTCGCCACCGAGCAGTTTGAAGAGACAATGACCAGCAATGAAGAACTGCGCGCCCAGCAGATCAAAGAAAATGATGATGCAGACCTGAAGATTGCTGGGCTGCAGAAGGAGCTAGAAGATGAGCGTACTAGGGCAATGGAGGAGAAGGCAAGGTTGGAGAAGGAGTTAGAGGAAGAAAAAACCAAGGCAGCCTCTGAAAGGGCAGCATACCCCGATCTGTGCATCGTAGTAGTAGAGCAGTTTAAGGTGTCTGCAGACTTTCAGATGGCCATCGATGCTGCTATTGCCAGCAACTTGGCAAGAGAGGGGGCTGGGGGGGGCTAGTCCGTCGGGGACGACCGCTGGGAACAGGAGCGAAGACAAAGTGATCCAGAGCTTCCAGCGGTCGGACTTTTACAAACACGAAATGGCTGAATTCTGGGACAGTGGCTGGAAGATGTTCAAACGTAAAGCAGAAGAGCTGTTCCTAGATGTAGACTTCAGCAGTGTTAGAATTGACGAAGACGACGTGGCCCAGACCCCCCTAGATGAA